CATCCGACTACACTTCTCCAGCCCAAACGACATTCCAATGTCATTGCTGTATAGCAATGACATTGCTATACAGGATGAAACCTGTGTTCAAATAAAGCATTTTCCACTGTAAGTGGTTTACAATCACAGTTATGTAAATATTTAAAATATGTAATTGAAAAATAGCCAGCAGGGCCTTAGTTTTATATGATCACTCATAATTATTTACAGTTACAAAAGTAGGACAGCTTAAAAGTGCTTAAAAATATTTGAATTTTGCTGTAATAACGCCCATAACTGCTGACTGTGTCACACTGTGATGTGTCATGTGGCTTCCTTAAAGAGAATAAAAAAACAAAACATAAGAATGTTTCAATGAATTTCAAACTGAAATTAGTTATAATATCTATAGATACAATAACATTTAAAATGAAGGTAACAACTTTTCTGTCCTGAAGATCCTCTTGAGCGCCCTCCCTACTCTACTCTGTATTTCTCCAACTGGATACAAAAAGCATGAAGCGACATGCAAGACAAACCACCTCATTCTTGTTCTGCAGCCTTTTCTTCACTTTAACATCCACCTCCCTCTGTTCCTCAGCCTGAAGCTGCTGCTGTGCTGAAGCTGCATCCTCATTCACCTGAGATGACAGAGAAAAACCAAGATAAGAAATCAATATATTAAAAACTTTAACTTCAACATTGATAACAAAATATACATTTTCTTGAATTGGTGAATCTCCAAGTGTAGTAAAGAGGTTGCCAAAAAAACCCACATTTTAAGTGATCTAGATCAAAATCTGTCTGCATTTTTCTGCTAAAATTCCTTTTTGCTTCCCTTAGAACACAAGTTTGGTGGAATGGTCCATCAGCAATGATGACTTACACCTCAAAAAGTTAGAATAGCCAAGCCTTGACTTGGCATTTGTTAGGGAGGAGTGTAAGTATAGAGAGGAGGAATTCTTACTTCTCATTCATGTACTCTGCAATGTGCATTGTGTCGAAACTGTCCCGATCTGTCCTTGTAACATGTTTATTTCTTTTCAGAATAAATGGCTGAGAGAAAAAAACATTAAAGTTGAGGTAAGTGGTTACCACACCTAAACAGTATTGTGATTTTGGTTTTTGTTTTTTTAAATCTGATATTAGTTTCCAAGGGTCAAATTTCTCTTTGGGTAAAAATTAAGCCAAGATCCATGTCAAAGGCCTTTAAAGGTCGGTTCTAAAAAACAAGTCAGTCCCTGATGCTTATTTGTCCCACAGATGCTAATTCGGTGACAACTCAAGTCTGTAGGAATGTTTGATCTTAAAAAACTAACTTCGTCGTTACATTACAGCAAAATTGAGGAAACATTTAACGGTTGATCGTGGAGCAGGCTGAAGGTCAAAGGGAAAGTCCCTGTGACGCTTCCGGTCATGCTTCCATCTGGCGTAGTCATCCGACCGGTCCATGCTATATCGCCCCTCCTGACCCGGAGTGGTATAACGTGTTGTAGAAAAATTGCATTGATTCGCTCTCTCTCTCTGTGTCTCTCTCTTAAAAAATAATAATTTCTCTGGGGTTTTTTCTCATACGCTTATGGTACCCGATGGAGGAAGTTGAAGCATCCCGAGCTCTCGGAGGTAATTGACCGGGATGAATCAATCTTATTGATGGTCGTCTGACTCCTTCTTGACCCGTGGTGTGCGTAAAACAAGGCCTTTTTCTTTTAGGGTCGTGTTTTTCTTTCTATTGAGAGTTTTCTCCTAATGAGAAAACCCGTTGAAAAAGTGACTCATAAAAAAAAAAAAAGAAAACTCTTTCCCACACAAAACCTCATTGGGGGTGAAATTGCTTTAATAAAATTATTTGGGACGCTAACAAGGACCGAGTTCTGAATATGTGCGCGGTGCTTTTTTCACTAAGGGTTATTTTTTACAAATACAAGGAGATGAGTGGGCGGCCTGTATGAAATTCTTTGCACTGTACTCTGTGGGTTACAAGCAAATAGAAAGTCCTTCTTTTCATTACAAGCCACGATGTAGCTTGCCTCCACCAGGCGCTATATAAATGCAATCCATTACTAGTCAGATAATCTTAAAGGTTTTTATTTTATTGCATCTATAACAAGATTAACATAAGAAAGTACAATAAATCTAAAACCGCTATTGTAAAAAAAATAGCCCTCAGTCTTTACCAAGAAAATGGTTATCAAGATCTTTGTCATAATATTGATACTAATAATAGCGAGTGAAAAGTGTAAACAGTGTGCTAAACAGAATTCAAACTATGAGTTCAACTCTTGTCTGTGAAAAACTAACTGTTGCGATCATTCTGTCTCCCTATACAGCATGCGCTCTGATCTCCACTGACTCATCAGAAATCTGCTGTGTTACCCCCTGAACTTTTCATGCCCCTGGAATGACCCCCTCCCTCTCTGATCAGAATTACCCCTGAACTTTTCCGCAACCATCCCCCCAGGAATGACCCCCTCCCTCTCTGGATAAAAACATTAAAAAAAATTCCCGCCAGATGCGATTCGTCACATCAAATTAGTCACTTCCGGAGTACCTCCCCCCACCGGATGCAATTCGTCACGCATATGGATCATATTACTCACACATCTGGAATTGATTAGACACTTCCGGAGTACTTCCGGTAAGGTCAAAAGGTCAAGGCTAGGGTCATCAATCAAACTTGCATTCCTGAGTGACACAAGCTGTACAGGAACTCTCTCTGCCATGGTCTACGGCATTATTTTTTGTGGGCGGAAATAAAAAAAATTGGAAAAAAAAAAGTGTTGTATGTTGAGGAGAAAATTATTTTGAGCGAACAAAATTCATTTCTGCGTGCAAGAAATGTATGAATTATCCATATACACACACAATAACAGCCCCTCTCGCTCAGTTGTTGGCCTGCTCAGATCTCTGTTCTGTGTGCTCACAGACATCTGTCGACCTGCTCTCAGTGTGTCGTTTGCACTGACAACATCTGTTTCGTGCACGCTCAACTCTCTGTACACCGTTATAATAATAATAATAATAATAATAATACATTTTATTTGAAAGCGCCTTTCAAAACACTCAAGTTCGCTGTACACTTAAAAGCAACATAAAAGCAAGAATTTTACAGAATCATAAAAGCATAAGTACGGTGGCCCTGAGAGGCCAAACGGACTGCAACTTCAGAAAACACTTGCAAAAAGAAAAATGTTTTGGTTCGTGCAACTGGTCCGTCTGGTTATTGTCTCCCCAGAAACATTTCCGTTGTGTTGTGTGTGCTTTTGCAGCATTTTTCTTTTTGCAGCGTTTTTCTTTTTGCAGCATTTTTCTT